AGGTTGGGGCGAGACGCCCCGGGCCTCAAAACCGTCTGCCATGCACCGGAAGAGGCGGAGAAGAGAGCTTACAGGGTTTAGGATTTAGGGCTTAGGGTTTAGGGGTTTAGGGTTTAGGGCTCAGGGTTTAGGATCTAGGCCTTGGGGTTTAGGGTTTAGGGCTTAGGGCTTAGGGTTATGTCAAGACGAAGACTTGTAATTACAAGAAGACTAAGAATAAAGAGGAAGAAGACGAAGAGCATAATAGTAGAAAAAGCAGGATGCTACTAATCAGACTAACAATAATACTAGTAATCATACAACTGCTAATAATAAACAATCCTAACAATAACAATAGGCGCAGTCATAAAAATGATAAGAAGAGTAGCATTTGAGTAGTACACTAACATTAGTACTAATAATCATAACAATGCTATTTTTTGAAAAGGGGATAGCTATGATGATAGCCATAATGACAATAATACTGAAAGGAAAAAAGCATGCAAGCATGACAAGAAGCCGGTAGCGAATGCTTAGTTACGAGTGTCCCTGAAGGTTCTGCTTGGGCTACTATAGTAGTAGTAGTAGTAGTAGTAGTAGTAGCAGCAGTAGTAGTAGTGGCAGTATTGCTATAACAATGCTGTCGGGCTTAAGGAGACGTCTGGCTTTTGTGGAGTCTTTGGCCTGTTCGCAGGGGTGTACCGCGTTTCGGCTTTAGAGTCTCTATCAATTGTTTTGTGTTTCTATGGGGGCTTCTGACGATAAGCTTCCTAAACTCTGGGGCATCCTACATCCTACACTTTAGGGTTTTAGGGCTTAAGGTTTTAGGGTTTAGGGTTTAAGGCTTTAGGGTTTAGGGTTCAGGGTTTTAGGGTTGTGTTGGAAAGAGGCTTAGGGCCTTACTTGCTTAAGCAAGGGCTCGGGGAGCATGATCCTGCAGAGCCCTCTGCAATTCCCCCAACCCTGACTGTCGTCAAAGTCTGAGCACTCAGTCAGCCCTAGGCCTCACCAAACTGGTTTAGGGTTTAGGGTTGAAACACTGAGCTGGCGTGCCCGACATCGTTCGGAAATCCTGCTGTGAATGCAACTTCCGCGTCACTTAGGCGTCTCGCGGTGAAGAGCGACTACTGGGTAGTGATCCCTAACCCTTCATGCAGAACCAAGAACAAGTCCCAAACCTTTACAATCTAGCCTCGAACCCAAAAACCCACAAGCTGCTCATGGGACATAATACTTAAGATACGACACCCCTGAAACCTCATCCAAGAGCTTCATGTATGTGTGCATGTACGTGTATGTATGTATATATATATATGTGTGTGTGTGTATGTATGTATGTACATATGTACGCCTTGCACGCTGCAACATGCCACGAGAAACCGACACGTCCCATGATCTTGTAGGCATCTCGCAGAAGCCATGCATCATCCTAAACCTTTAAGGGACGTTTTGGCATCCTTCGAGAACTTTACAGTTTCACAGAATCTGAACCCTAAGGCCAAACCCGGATACTCCACAACCGCCTAAGTTAGTAACTACCCTTCACGTATAGACCATTTAAGACATCCTCGAATCTTTGAACCTGAAGAAACGAAAAATCCTAAACCTTACGAAACCGCCAACCCGAACCCAAAGTCTTGGAAACCCTAAACCCTAAACC